GACGCTAAATGCAGGAGCTGCCCCCTGGTGGTCAGTGCATTCCCACAGAGGGAGTGCTGCTCAGCCAGAAGCCGGGCTCACAGCTTGAGAGCGCAGCAGTAGTGGTGGAAGCCTCTCCTGCCTCTGCTGCAGGTGGTTGGTAAGGAGCGAGGGGTCCCGGACTGTGAGAGCCCCAGACTGTCGGGCCTAAGCTGGCAGTCAGACATCCCTCAAGGGGTCCCGGACTGTGAGAGGGCACAGGCTGGGCTGAGGGGATGCCCCCCCACCCCCTGTGCACTAATTTTGTGCACCGGGCCTCTAATAGATAATAAACTCACAAAATTATGGCAGTTTGAACCCTACTTAATGCTTGCTAATCTCAGCTGAGCTTTCCTTGCACGCCTGTCCTGCCTTCCTGAATGGCCCACACCACATTACTTATGCCAACTATCCCAGACCTTTTTCTTCCTTCCTAGAATTCAGAATTGAATGGCTGTAACTGCTGACCTCACCTAACACATCATAGGCCATCCAACTAGCACCCCCTTAACATTCCTCAATATTTGAAAAAATTTCCAGAGCTACCTCTTCCACTTGTGCCCATCCCCTCCTACTTCCTATAGATCCTGCTCCCTTCCCATTGGCCTTTTTCTTTTTCAAAATACCAGATCCCGAGATCCTCCACCCTGCATATCACTGAATGGTGTTCCAACTCCTTCCCTCTGTCGGCCATCTTTTTAAAAAATAAATATTTTTATTGAATTCAGAGAGGAAGAGGGAGAGAGAGAAACATCAATGATGAGAATCATTAATTGGCTGCCTCCTGCACGCTCCCTACCAGGGATGGAGCCTGCAACCTGGGCATGTGCCCTTGGCAGGAATCGAACCCAAGACCCTCCAGTCCACAGGCAGATGCTCTATCCACTGAGCCAAACGAGTTAGGGCTCTGTCAACCATCTCAAAGGAGTAGCTGTGTCCACCTACATCTACATCTGCTCCCTCTTTATGTCTGTAATCTTACTTTGTTTTCTTGGCTGAACTGGCTCATTGATGGTATCAGCAGCCTAAGCACCAAATCTAACAGCCCCCCCCTCCCTCCATCCTATCCTTTCTCTCTAGGTGCAGTTTACCACCTGACCCTTGAAGCTCTCTCTCCCCTGGCCCTCCATAGCCTTGCTCTACCCTGCTTCTCTTATGGCAGCTTCTTTCCCTTCACTGGGGTTCTGGTGACTTACAGCCCTTACCGTAAGTGTGAGTGATGCTCCAAGTTTTGTCTTTATCTTCTTGTATTTGGTCTCTTCAGAATCTCAACTCTCAACCTTATGTGCACAGCCTTGTCTGTATCCCCAGCCTCCACCCTCAGTGGGCTCACCTGCCTTTCAAATTCCATATATCCTTTAAAATCTCCATTTTCACCTCTTTCCCTCCCAAGTTCCATGTTTAATGCTGTAACTGTTCTCCAGACACTTAACTGCTTATCGGGGCCAAGCAGGTAAACTCAATGAGGAAGCTGCTGGAAATAGTCCATAGGGAGTAGGGGACCAGATGACTTGGCAGACAACGTCAAGCATTTTAAAAACACTGTACGAGCCAAGCGAAGCTTTCTGCAGTCTGCATCTGGTCCCTGCGCTGTCCAATTTGTAACATCAGGTTTCCAAATCATATCAGTTCCACCCTCAGCAGGTCCTGCCCACTCATCCTGTTCCTTCACGTTTCTCTGCCATTTCAGAAAGTTAGACCTTACTGTGTTTTCCCAAAACTTAAACTGCCATGGATTTTTTAAACCAAAACAGCAACAATAAAAACCCCTCCAAACCTCTGTTAAAGTCACATCCCTGAATTTAAGTGTTGAATAAAGTAATTTAGTTTTTATTAAGCAAAACTAATGATAATGTCAGTACAATGAGGGCCTAGAGCACCTAAAGTGTAATGACCATACAGTTTCATTAAAATTAACTCTGGCCCTAGCCGGTTTGGCTCAGTGGATAGAGCATCAGCCCAGGACTGAAGGGTCCAGGTTCGATTCCAGTCAAGGGCACATACCTAGGTTGCAGGCTCAATCCCCAGCCCTGCTCCGGGCTTGTGTGGGAGGCAACCAATTGATGTGTCTCTCTCACATCGATGTTTCTCTCTCTCTGTCTCTCCCCCTCCCTTCCACTCTCTAAAAATCAATGGAAAAATATCCTCGGGTGAGGATTAGCAACAACAAAAATTAACTCTGGAAAAGCAATAAAATAGCACATTAGTCAAGCGATTAGTTTATTAAATTTCATTTATGAGCAGATATTACATATGGTATAGTATATGGTATTATGAGTATTGTATAATTATAAAGGATCACTCCAGAGTCTCAACCCAATAAAAATAAGCAATATAGTCAATTTCCTTGTAAGTTCCAATGCTGAAATTCTGATTACAAGAGTCATTATTGAAAAAAAATTTTTTTTATTTTTCTTAATCAGGCAGAAATGGACAAAAACAGCAAGATGTAAAGATTCAATACACTATGGCTAATGTTACATGATAAAACAATGTTTTATAAACATCATGCCAATTACTCTAGTACCATAGAAATTAGACAACTAAATTGCATTTAATTCAAAAATCTCATCACCAACTTAAAAACTTAGTCACACTATTTAATTCTTTTCTTTTTAAAAAAATATATTTTATTGATTTATTAGAGAGGAAGGGAGAGGAATAGAGAGTTAGAAACATCG